CATATTGCATTAAATAGAACATTTTTTAGGAATATTTGCTTATTTAGAAAATACCTAGGAAAACTCGAATCAACCAACCGAAAACAAGATTATCTATGTGGGTATTTTATTTCACTACACAAAAAGAAAAACAGTTATCTTAAGCTTTGTTTGTCACATCACAAACCATTAGCAAATAATAATACTATGCATTAGTCATTTTATTATTATAAAAATAATATACTCCAAAGTAAATGCGCATTTATTTACATGGTGCCATGGCAGCTATATATTATGCCCACAAACATGGTTATTCCTATAAAGTATACAGGCACAAATACAGTGTTGTTTCAATATTTTAATATTATACTTTATATTCTATTGGTAAACCCTATTTGCTGTTGCCTGTATTATACGCTTGCGCTTGTATTATTGCTAAATATTATCATTCTAAAAGTTTGTTTATTTATTTGTAACTACCATTTTGCTAGTTTGATCACACAATAAAATACTACGCGTACCGATTACTGATAGGTGATTACAGTATATTATATTATTATGTTGTATTTCAGACGAAAACTGCGCTTGCGCGATTACTGTTGCTTGGGTTCCTGTAGTTGTTGATAATCCTGTAATAGTCGCTGAATATCTCATTATAATACTTTATACTGCAGAAACACAAAGAACTGAAAAAACAACATATTATAATTTCAGTTTTTTTTTTCAAGACGTTCGTCTAGATAAAATATATAACTGGGTATTATAGTCGTATAACAAGCATCAGATTATGCCTTTAAATATTGTATACTTTATACCTAATATAATATAGGTTATGCATGTATATTGTTTACTGTATAGTTATAAATATTTATATATGTTCAATTTAATAATTAAACATAATGCAAATGTAGTTCTGCTACGTTTACTTTAGAGTAAAAATATTCATGTACGTGCCTATGATTTATGATATTGGGTTTTTTTTAGTATCAGGGCCTTAGAGTATACTCTTATATACTCTGAGATCGGGACAATAGGTTATCTGAAATTTATAATTTATTTTCTTCAGTGCTATTCATTTTGAATGTAAGTTTATTTATACAACATATTCAATGCTATAATTTTTTGCCTGTGATCAACTTATGTTTTCATTGCTAAATTTAAACGTATTATAATTATTATAATCAGTATTTTTTATATAGTTTATTCACTGGTCCCTATTATTATTTTTATACACTATGCATAATAAAATATTATGTACAGATTGAGGTCCTAATGTTTTCTGTATTTCCCATGTACAATTCACACAAACGGCGGCTCTGTATGTGTAACGAATTTGGTTACATGCAAATATTTGTAATTTAATTAAAACGTGAATTAATAATAAAATATGGTGTGTGTATTTTATGTGGTTGGTCACTATAATATAGTATTATTGAACAAATTATGATTCTAAAAAATTAGACAGAAAAAAAGAATCCTAACTTAACCAGTCTTATTTTTTCATTCAATCATGAAAACCGTACGATTTTATCATATAACATGATGAAGTAACTTATAAAATCGAATTAATGTATTGGAATGGCCAAGGTGGTGTAGGTACTAGTTATGTATAGTAAACAACTAAACAAGTTGAATGCATTGTATAATATTTACCTATAATACCTAATACATTGTCCGTCAAGGACTTTAAAAAAAAAGTTTTCATAAAACTTAAGTATTTTATAAATGTATATAATGGTAAAAACACAAATACAGAGTACAGACATTAAATAATTTCTGCGGGGGTAAAAGTATACTATTTTTTCCTGATAAAAAAATTAGTTACACAATAGTCAATGCATATGGACATTTAATGTGATGGTAATTTTTTCGACCGCCAACTAATATGCTTACACTATATTTTGTAATCTATTGTCGAAAATTTTTTATTCAGTGTTGAAGTGTTCATTGTATAACATTTTGATGTAGTTTTACTTAATTGATTACAATTTTTTGTATTCAATATTCACCGACTCCATTATTGTTTTTATGGTAAAAATATTTAATTTTCAAGAGTTTATTGAAAAAAAAACCGTTGGTATACTAATATGTTTGTTCATTGTGTATAATGTATTTATGTATATTGTATTTATACAATCTGTGTTGGTACCTGTTTTCGTTGTCTATAATCATAATAATAATGTATAATAATGTTGTAGTATGTAATAATTGGGTTCACGTGGCTATTGATTACAGATAAATCAATTAAAAATCCACTATTAAACATAAAGTTGTGTATACAACGAAATAATTTTAATTATTATCGATTATCATTCAAAAACATCATATTAGGTACCTATATTATAAAATTATAATTAATTTATTTCCAAGCAATAAAGTCGCTACCACGTCATTATTACGGTTAGCGGATTATTCCGTTTACAGCATACACTTATTGATTTCACAAAAACGTTCAAGAGAAAATTTCACTTTGCAACAATCTAACCTAACGACATAATAATCAACACTTGTATGTGATAATATAAATTTATTTTCGTGTTAGATACGCCGCGTTATTGGCCACAGCCTTCTTCGATTTTCCGGAAAATTTCAGATTACATACATATATATAATATAGTAGTAGGGAATCAAGAAAGTGTCCCCCCCCCGATAACGTACCTACCTATAATGCAGTTTTGTATAGCCTTAGCCTACATTCGCGGTTGGCGATATTGTAATTAGGTTCGTTAGATATACTTTTTAATAATATGTTGTAGGCGCGTGACGTGTTGTATACATGGCTGCTGGTATTATCATAGTTTTGTTATCATGTTATAATAATTCTCGTCACTTGTATTTACTATAAAAACTAACAAAAAAACTTGTAAATCGGTATTTATATTATACAGCATACACTATACACACACAGTTAGTGTTAAGTTTAGTTGTCAACACCAACTTTCCAAATCAGTTTTTGTATTTTGAATAATTTGTATCATAATAACTGCTTGTGTTTAAATTTTCTTAATAACCATTTGTTAAAATAATTATTTGAATGTAAAATATTTTTTTTCAAATTTAGATTCATTAATAATGGAAATTAAAGAGTTAGTAAGTTAGTTAGTTTAGTTTAAAGTAAAATGTAGCAAAGGACCTATTATACATAGTGGACTTCAGCTTTTAAGAAATATTATAACTACCCCTTGGCATTACATATCTTTACATTTAAACTTTAAATGCTTTGATTATTAATATAAAAGATATTGTTAGTTAAATGTTGAATATTTATATGATTGTCTGTTTAAAAATGGCAATATGTTAGAAAACTATTCTGCTTCTGATTATGACAATAAAAATACTTTATAAATTGTACAAATGTAGTGTTATATAGGTAAACAATTGTTATCTTAAAAAAATAAAAAATTGACTGAAAATTAACGTAGCTGTTTAAATGGATATTGTTTCTGCATTATTCGGTTGGAATTTATTTTTTCCGATGATATAATATAGGTACTATAATATTATAGACGTCGTGTACGGAAACGACAACGATCACGTGGGATATTATTTTCATGTTTTTTAATATCTATATATTTTTTATTAGAGAGTGTCGGCCGAGAGTATATGTACACATAAAGTATATTGTATATAAATATGTATATAGTGACCATGAATATAATAACAGGTGCTAAGTGAAAGTATTGCGTTGCTGTATATAATATAATATTGTATGTAATATGTATAGGACGAGCGTTTCGGCGCGGGACCTCCGTCACTGTATAGTGCAAACAAATTGGTCAGATTTTTTCTTCCACCTTCTTATATTACCCCGTCGGTGTACTAGTACTTTCTTCGTGGTTTTTAACGAGGCGCGTACTTGTATTAACATTTCGGAGAAAACGTCGAAACGTTATATAAAAGGTATATTATTTATATTATATTGTACACCTACCGCCCGCCTACAAAGCAGCGATCGTTTTATCATCGTGCCCGTCGCTCGTCGTACAGATTTTTGCTCGGTAACGGTCTGTTTTTAACATCACGCATACCCTATAGTATGGTAAATATTGTAATACACCGTACCTTTAAGTCCGCTATAACGATATATTATTTGTTTAGAAATCCATTGATGGCGTACCTACGCTCAGTTGGAGATGTATCGTGTATATACCTAATGCAGTTTACATTTATAATATAGGTGTAGACTTTTTTCGATCTTAGAGAAAGCACTGAGCGTATTATAATATGATGAGTACTTTATTTTATGTTAATCCATATTGAACATTATAATTATGATAATTAATAATATAGTTCCGTGTGTAAATGGTAAACTCGACTATATAAGTAGATTACACTACTCGCATGGTGCTTGTTGTTTTGTTTCAAATGTTTTAAAAAGGGGAAAAAACAAATCGTTTGTCCTGTTTTTTTTTCACATTTTATTATTACACGCTCTTGCATCTTGTTATTTTGATATATTATATTGTGTATGCATATTTATGTTCAAATCTGTTATATCGACACAATTATCATACCGTTGCTAGCGAATTTAATACAAGTGCATGTTTGATATAATAATAATAATAATAATAATAACAATAACACGACGATGAAGCCACAAAATACATATAAATGGGACGGATACGTCGCGTATCATTTATTATAGCTATAGCGTCATTGTTGTCCACCAAGACGAAAAATAAAAGATAATTCGTTTTCTTTGTTACGCGGTTAGATTCAAAAGTGGGGTATTAAAATTATGTTTAACTCGTCGACCACCGCAATAATAATGGTACGTTTTTAAATTAATAATTAAATTACATGGAGAAAATATTACGTAAACTCGTCGCGCACCACGTTATTATTGCGCAATGTCGTTGCCGTTTCTAGATTAGCCTGTTCTGTTTCTTCCTTAGCACCTACAACTACGATACACCTATTTTATTTTTAAATGTATAAAAATGTTAATATCCTGTATCATTTTAATTGTGTGTATGAATGAAATTTGTTTTTTTATATTTTATGTTCCATTTTGATTTCAGAAGGGAGACCGTTCGCTGTTAGCGCAATTCTTTTACGCTGACGACGAATTGAACGCCGTCGCGGCTGAACTGGACAGTTTCGACGGCAAAAAAGATCCTCAGCGGTGTACTGCCCTCGTGAACCATTTGCGACAATGTCAGGACAAAGTGAGCAAAACCCTCCATCCCCGCCCCCCCCCACGAACACCTTAACTAACACTGTGCAATGTAGCAATGTTTTTTAGACACAATTAAAAAGCATCTGAATTCCGGCCCTATTTTATAGTTATATATAAATCTTGTACCTATAAAACAATGTATATAAACAATATTTTTGGTTTTTAGGTCTTGACGATTTGTATTAAAATCATGGACGAGCTGATACCTGGCGAACGGGCCAGTCGTGATTTTCGTGTAAAGTTTCCAGACGACGTAATTCAGGATAATCTGGCGGGACAGCTGTGGTTTGGCGCTGAGGTAATTATTATATTACATGTTACTATTATTAATATTATGACTTATGATGTTTGGCGTTCAATGAATATTTTAGACAAAAAAACAGTCTCCCACTACGTAATCGAATTTTGCAAAATATGTAGTTTGTTATTGTTCAGTCTGTAAAAACGTCTATTATATTTCAGCGTCGTGTGCTACCTTAAATTGCACACATAAATTGTTAGTCGGGATTCAAAAGTAGGTTCATAGACACTATTATAATAATTTGGTATAATATTTATAGTGTACGAGTTTATTATAATCGCTGTGCATCTATTTTGTATACATATATTAATTGTAATGTAATACATAGCTGATTGTATGCATCAACGTATAAATAACTGCGTATGAGATAGAAATATCGCCAAATCGGAATTTCGAAATAATTCAATTTTCATGTTATGAATTTTTAAAATATCGTAAGTAATAATCTTAGAAACTAAAAGTCGATAATAAACCTAATATGATGTGGGGAGATAAAATAGTTCAAATATTTTTTAAAAAATTGATATAATGAACTATCATTATAAATGCCAGTTTTATTGTACGGTTCATGGTGGAATATACATTCTTTATACTATTGATCATATTGAAAAAAAATAACAATTAATAGTATATAGGTAGGTACGTTAAAAACTCTACATTATTAATACCTAAAATAAAGATTATAAAGATTATGATAATTAATAGTAATGACACTAACAAAATATCTATTGGCTTTATCTACATTATTATTAATTAACTCTGTTCATGTATATGTAGTGTCTATCGGCGGGGTCGAGCATAATGAACCGGGAAGCAGAGAGCGGAGCTATGAGGCCTTTGGCCCGGGCACTAACCAAATCGCTGGAAAGAGTCCGGGGCCTCCTGAGGGACGCGAGCCTTTGCAGCGATCAAACTCCGCCGTGCCTGCGCAACCTAATATCTTCGTTGTGCACGTTCGATCATCTGTTGGCTGAGTTTGAGTTGCGTTACGTGTCCGCGATGGTGCCCGTCAAGACCGCCCACGAATACGAACTCCAGCAACTCGTAGTCGTCTTGTTCTCCGAGACCCTACAAAGGTGAGTGCGTTGATAGATAAAACATAAAATAAAACCATACTAGAGTTAAAAATAATAAAAATAATATAGTTACGATTTTTATTTAGTGTGCATGTTACAATTATAGTACTTCTAACAATATTGTGTATCAAAACAATAATTATGTTTTAATTTTTATTATTATATTGGTGTCTTTTAGAGCGCTTGTCAAAGGTCTTCTGACCCAAGAGATGGTTGACGACTATGATCCTGCCCTCATGTTCACCATTCCTCGTCTGGCCATCGTGTCCGGTCTGTTATTTTACCCATACATGTCACCCCTGTCCCTCGACCAAAACGCCACCGACATGTCCGATATGTTTCGTCCATTTCGAGTGAGTGTTTTGTGTTTAAGCTATATGTATTCTGTATACTCGTATATCGCGAGCGTTTGATGAAATGGCAATATTACAACAACAAAATTCTATTTAACGTTGAAAAAGTGACTATTGTCTTTTTAATAGAACGCCTACGATATGCATGTACATAAGAGACAATACTTAATTGGTCTTATCGATTTATGTTATGCCTAAATTAATGATTATATACTTGTTGTGTAGTCGTTATTGATGAAAATCAGAGAGCTCCTACTCACCCTGTCCGACAAGGAGCTGTCAACGCTGGAGAGGATGTTGTGTTCGTCCGATGAGGTTAAGTTTGACGAGAATTTGGCGGCAAAGAACCAACAGTTATCGTGAGTATATTATTACGATATAACGACTGTTGCATGAAATAATTTATGCACATTAAAATGGTATTCAATAATATTTTGTACATCTTTTTTTGTTTCAGGTGCCAGGAAACTAGCGACGAGGACTCCGAGTGCCTTTCGTCCAGTACTGCGGAACTGGTATTGGACAACAGCGTTACCACTACCACTACCACCACCACCACTCCCGTAACTACCATAGAACACTGCGGTACGAAAGGGTTTCCGCCGACGCCACCATCGTCGCCGCAAGACCTTATCAACAACAACAGCAACAGCAACCAATGTAATCCGTTGATTAAACGAGCATCGTTCGGATCAACGATCATATCAACGAACAACGCTGGCGATCTGCAGCCCAACATTGAATTGAAAAGTTCAGTAGGAAACCGTCAGCAATTGCAACAATATGATTGCGGGGGTCTGGAGTCGTCGTCCGGTTCGACGCCGGATGCAGACCTAACCGAGTCGCTGGCCACAGCTACAGAAGCTCTGACAGAGATCCTGGTAAAGTCAACGAATTTGGAACGTGAGATCAGCAGGAACAACGGCGGTGGCGGAGCGTCTGTGGTTGTGGTGGTGGTCCAAGACGATAATGGAAACGAAAACGTGCCATCGCCGAAGCTTCATCCTATAAAACAGCACCAAGCCCCCCCAAATGTGTCAAGTAGTTCGACGCAAACAGAATGTCCGCCATCGAGTTCATATCGGTTGTGTTGTTGCAACAACTGGAACCGATGGCGGTCGGCTGCAGTAGACAATAAGAGATGCCTGTCGCCGTCCAGTGGTGGAGGTGGTAGTGGTCGTCGTTGTTGTCATCATCATCACAGAAGGAAAAAGACAAATACCACAGCCGCTGCTTCCAACCGGAGTGGTGGTAATGAAAGCTGCAGCAGCAGCAGCAGTAGTAGTGGTGAGACAAAAGCCTGGGAAAAGGTGCCTGTTGTCACTGCCGTCTCGACTAAGTACTCAAAGAGCTGGCGGGAACTGCGCAAGGCGACCAGCGCTGATGGCAAACGGTCAGCAGAAGTGGTGATTTGCCGCCTCCAAACCACAAGTTGTTGCAATACCTCCAGATGTGGTAGCGTTAAACCCGTGTAAGTTTTCCAAGTATACTTTTTTTAACAGAAAAAAACTGACAAGTGCTGAAATGCAATTGACGAATATTATGTAATAACTAATAACTCTTAATCAATATAAATTTATAAAAAAAAAAGCCTAGCGGTTTGTCAGCCTATGATATTACTTGGTTTATTTGATGTTATTGTGACTTAAAGGAATTTATTTTACTACTAGGATATGCCAAGATTCACTAATGGGTGGCTGCCTAATCACACCTTTCGTGTCATTTATTTTTTGTTTTAAATTTTTTTATGTACTCTTATCAAATAATCTTGTTGTGCTAATATTGTAAAAATTGTGTATGTCAAATAAAAATTTAAAAAAAAAAAAAAACTATTAGGATTTAGTACTACAGTAGGTTACTTCATTTACTAAAAAAACTACATTTGAAAGTTGCATTGCGTGTATAAAATAGAATAGTATACTCTAAAGTTTTTATATACCCATGAATAATGTTTTTAAATTACAACAAAATAACTTAAATCATTATTCTTGGAAATTGAATATGTAATTTCGTCCAAATTTGAACGCAAAATAACTATAAAAAAACTGTGTTAAAATATATCAAGAGCCTTGTATTAAATTTGCATGATTTTGACCCAACTAAATAAAATTGTATTGACATTTATAGAAAAAAATCTAAAAAAAATTGAAAATTGAAAATGTGCTTAAACAGTTCAAATATAAATTTAATTTGACTTTCCGGTAGACATTTTTTTTTTTTGATAAAGGAAGACAAACCTATAAGGTATCCTGTATTAAATTTTAAAATTTTAGATTTAGAAAGAAAAATATTTTTGAATTTCTATCCTTAAATAATTTTCACATTTTTGTAATTTTTACATACTTTGTCAAAATTCAAACTTTAAATGCTTATAAAAAAAGTTGTGACTGTATTTTTAATATTTTTCAACTGCCATTGTAACATTATATCAGTACTTGTACTTGTATTGTACTTTTGACCCCCCCCCCCCAAGTACCAAATAGATTTACTTTCCTACCAGAAAAGATACTGTTGAAGAAAATTGAAGCATTTTTACTGCCCCAAAAGGTGATGACAGACATAAAAAATTTTTTTTAAAAACACATCATTGTAAAATGTATACATTTATCCTTCTGCTCAGAATCTAATATTTAATTTTTCTATTATAATGTGATTAGTTAGTTGTATTTAAAAAAATTGTATAATAAATGTTCATAATACTATAAATTAGAACAAAAGTAATTATTGCGTAGTCAGGTAATTACATTTATCAGCTATTTTTGTTACACTTATTTAATAAGTAATAAATCGCTCCAAGGACATACTTGTGATAATAATAATTGCATCATTTCATCCTTTAGGATCAAGAAACATGAAATTTGTTCAAGCTGTTCTAGTTGTACGTCCTCATCAGCAGATGAGAGTGATGAGAGCTTGACGGACAGCACATCAACGGACAGTTCCTGTAATTATTCGTTACGTCGTCAAAAAGCTCGTGCTAAGTTCAGGTGAGAAATAACTATATATTTAATGGATGAATATAATTATTATTATGGTTCTTATTTTCTAGATCTGATGAAGACTTATTGCATCGACTGTTTGTATGCATATCGGGAGTGGCTGACCAACTGCAGACTAACTTTGCTGGAGACTTACGTAATATACTTAAGGCAGTGTTTCTCATGTCTAATTCTAATTGCGGCAATGATAGTCAACAGAACTTGGGTTTGTTTAAAAATGTGCCATTGAAATACATGTGGTTATTTTTTATGCTTCAATTGATAATTTCAGAAGTAATTCCTGTGATGAATAACCCAGCTGCAGTGATCGACATCGAAAATGGAGAAGAGGCGCTTGTTTGGAGAGGTGAAGCTATGATTAATGATATGTTATCCACTTCAACAGAAACTCCACCACCCTGGATACCTGACAATGAGGCTCCTGTATGCATGTCTTGCAAAGCTATGTTCACTGTGGTCCGAAGACGTCATCATTGTCGAAATTGTGGCAAAGTACTTTTTTACTTCTAAATATACCTAATATACCTAACCTAACCTTAAGAACTTGTCTTATTTCTCAATTGTTTTTTCTTTGCAGGTATTCTGTTCTCGGTGCAGTTCAAACTCTGTTCCTTTGCCCAGATTTGGGCATTTGAAGCCAGTGCGTGTGTGCAATCGTTGTTTTATCTATCAGGTTACACCATTCACATTAGAGCATTCAATTGGACCAGTTCCGATTGTCATGCAGTCTTAATTAATTATAGTCCATCAATTTTTTGTGATTCTCCTCTCCCCTCGCCCAAAACCTCTTCTCCCAAACATTCCAAAAAAATAAAGAAACATCTTTATTTTTTGTGTTACCATTTTATCCTAATTGACTGTTTGTTTCTTCCCTTTTAATCTTTTGCTTTATTTACTTTTTTCCCATCTATGAATATTCTGTTCCTAACAGTTATAATATTAATTAGTTGTGTGCAAATAAATTGATGTCTTGAACAACATTTCGTTGTTGATTCAACAATTTAACTTTAATGAATGCATTTGTTATTGTATTTTCTTTTATAAAATTAATTTAATGATAATATTATTACATGTAAGATTCATAACAATGATACTGATAACTGTTATTGGCGTGTATTATAATGTGTTGTTAGACAAAACAATTCTATTATAAATACTTTTTTGATACTAAAATAGCTGCTCAATAATGTTTTTTTGCCCACATTTAGTCCTGTTGTTTGAACTTTCTTATCTTAAACTTATAAAAATCACAAAGTTATATCTAATTATTATTACTTACTATCATAATAATTAATATTAATACAGTTTTTATTATTATCATTTTTTCAAATTAGTTTTAGAAATCAAACTTAAGTTTCCTCTATCAATCTTTATTTAAATTATATGTTTTAATCATACCAATAAACTTTGTTCACTCGGTCTATCAATATTAGATTAATGATCAAAAATGGCTGTGGATTTTATTCTTAATGATCATTGTTCTATAATATCAATACACTATTGTAATGTGTACCTTGTATTAAGCATTTTTAAGTTGTTTTTTTTTATAGTTATTAAACATTAGTACAATGGTAAAAAGAAACACTCTGATTAAGAATAATAAGGATGAATACATTTTCAATCATACATGCATGGTGTGACTTGTACATTTATAGAAAATAAAAATCATTAATGATTTATTAAAAACATTCTTTTATTGTTAAACTACAATTTCTGTGATAGTTTTTACCTAAAAATATGATTATTCATTTCATGTTCATAATTATTTACCAATGGAATATTTATTTTTATGCTTACTAATTATTATCTCATACAACAGTAGTGTATTGCGATTGTTTTACTGCTATTATATAATTGAAATATGTGAAAATAATTAATTATGTCAACAAAGTTATATTCGTCCATAAACATTGTCGCCAAATTATGTATAATACTGATCCGCTTACAATTATGTTAAAAAAAAAAAACAATCAATTAAAAGTATTATTCTAATTCGAAACTTTGTTGTATCCAAATTTTGATAAGAAGTTGTCAAATGTTATATTCTTATGTTTGTGCTAATGAAAAATTGTTGATAATGTTGAAATTGGTTTTCCAAACAGTTAATGAGTAGTATGTAATGTTTGAGTATGTCTGGCACTGTGCATTTAAGTGTAATATGTTAAGCACATTTTATTTAAATATTTTTTATGTGCAATACATCTTTATTTCATTATTGTAAAGAAAAGTGTGTGAAATATGTGTTTAGTGTTACATCGCCTACTCGTTTTGGTTGAAATCACTGTAAGTTCTTAAATAGTTTGTGTGCGAATATGTCAAAAAAATTTGTTGTAAGTCCATAAAAAAAAGTTATTGTATTTTTTTTTCTTATTAGGTATAACAATAAAAATTATTGACAGTCATTTTTAAATTTATTGCAGTGTTTGATAGTATCTTACCTTTGATTCTTATTCCTATTTTTATAATTGTAATTCTTTATAATCTGTAGGTACACAGGTGACAAATCATATAGGCAGCTCATTTTTTTTTTATATAAAACACAGTTTTTCTATTATTACCAAATTAGATAAATATTATCTATTAAGTACAGTAATTAGTAGGTACCTACCTATCTAGACCACAGATAAATACAATAAATATTTGTTGTATGTTATTGTTTCTGGTAAATGTTTAGATCTAGTGTTATCATTTATCAAGTATCATCAAGCCCAGATAACAAACAATATAACTAGATAAAATAATCTTTTTGAGCTATTTTTAAGCATAAAGTTTAGGACTCATTGATTCAAAGACTCCATTTTTTAAGCCACTTGAAAGTTAGGTGTATTTGATGCTGAACTGCTGATGTTAAATGGAGGCAATTCGGGCGTTACGATGTTGTTTTCGTTTGCTTATAATATCGGGTTTTGACTTTTTGTATCCGAATGATTTTATTGGGTTTTCTCGTGTTGTATTTGATCGTTAGTTGCTCTGATAATGGCCATTTCATATATCACTTAACTTTTTTAATTTGTACTTTTTTCGATTTCGCCGTCTATTCAATAAATTATATTAAATTGCCCATTTGCATCTCTTCCTCAGTGCAATTATCATCAAATATATAGCCCGAGTGTGTTCTTGACCAAAGCTGTAGGTAGATACCTGTAAACAATCAGCTAAAAACTTTTAAGGTACAGATCTGACGATATACTATGAAAGTTTAAATGTTACAACAAAGTACTTTACCCATGAAAACAAAAACTATATGATACTTATTAGTAGAAACCTATATAAACTTGTAAAATGGGTGTCAAATTAATAGTAACAAAATATTTTTGGGTTGCTGCAAGCCAGTTTACCTCCTCGTGGTTAAGTTAGGAATTCTGGATTATTTTAAAATTTTAAATGGACCGGCGAGGACTCGGGCTTGGTAAAAAATCATTTTTTTTTCTTAGGATGCACTCTGGAAACTTCCCCTAAAAATTATTTTGTTTTTGTGTGTGTACTGTTTCAAACACATACGGCAGGTAACTGGTGAGGTGAACCGCAAATTCCTACACAAGACTGGTTAAGAATTGCTTAGGTTAATTCCTACATAATATGAGTGCAAGTATTGCTACGCGGCAAAAAAAAATGTTACGTATTTATGTAAGTTATTAAGTTCCTGAAAGAAAAAAATTATCTATTTATCAATCGTATTGGTACCTACACTAATCTTACACCGAACGTTTATGGTTATTACTTATTGCTTATTGGAATATAATAGTGTGGAGTATTTTTTTAAAGATATTATCAGTTTGATTACAAATTAGTGTAGCACCTATATATTTTTTATTATTATTATTAATTTTAGAAATGTATTGCGATAATTTTTTTTTTTGTCTCAAGATTATAACAATAAATTTGATTAAAATTAATTACATGTAATATATAAAATATAATGGTATACCTATTATATTATGTATATTACATTATACATAATAAATTAATAACATCAACGATTAGTGTAGGGAATTAACGTACGTACCTTATGTACGTATTTTGTATCAATGCTGCATTGCTTAAAACAATGTAGCGCTTTTTAACTTGATTAGTGATAACCTTCAAGTTTTTATGCTGCGGGAAACCTCATTGTACCTATATTAGTCCTTAATAGTTGCAGGCAGGATGTGCACCCGTATCATATATTAAGCGCTTTATATTTTGAGGCATACGGCAAGTTTAGCCGGTAACTAACAATTTAATTATTACTGCTGTGAATTTAAAGTGAAGTAAGAAACCTTAACAAATGTATTTAAATTTTTTTTAAATACACTTAAAATTGTTTTTAATTTTATTTAAATATTTATATTGTATTAATACTAGCTGATCCGTGCACTTGTTGCCCGTTAAAAATGCTTATTATATATGAGACTCTATGGTGATAATGCGAACAGTATATTATGCCTACCTGCTGTGTATTGCGGACCCCGCTTGATGAGTACTTTATATAAATAATAGGTTTGATTTTGATTACGGATACGCCGATGAGTAGCTATAAGTGCAACTCAGCCACCTTGGTAGGCAATATGCGAAAATTAAATTGTATGCATGTTTATACCTGATCTGTCCGATGAACCACTGCAGCAACCAATAAAATAAACAAAAAAAAAAAAATACCAATTTCTCCTATAACCAATAACAACAGTATATAAACAAATATTTCCTTCGTAAATCTTAAAATCCCTGTCAGAGCAACTTCCCGGGTTGGACCTATCGGGTTCAATTATGAATCTAACCCATCCAGGGCGTCACCCAAATGCATTCAAATCGGTCCAGCCGTTTAGGAAGAGTTCAGTGACGTACACCACGTACAATAGAATTATATATATAAAGATAGTTACATACAAACTATTCATTTTTTGAAAACAATCATAAAAATGTTGTTCGAATTTGAATTTTGATTTGGGAGTTGATAGCTTCTGTAGTACCTACATCTACTCTTCTGGAACAATTTTTTTTTAATAAAATAATAAAATATATTTACTTGTGGTGCCTTATTCGTGTTTAATTAGCAATAACTAATTATTATACCTACCTAACCTACTATATATTTTAAATATGATACCTTTAAGCCTTTTGTAAATGTAATTACAACATGATTTATCTACGTTTATATGTTATACTTTCTTCAACATGTTCGTTTCTTTGAGTAGTTGAAGAAGTATGGGTGTCGTCTCTGGGTTGGGTGTGTTGGTATTTCACACATAGGTTGTAGGGAAGTATCAGTTAGCAGGTATTAAACCGTAACTGTAGTTGTGGTGTTGCATGAGGTACATTTTCGTTGTTTGTTTTTGCCCATTAGATGTTCCTAAGAACCTATATAAGGTGTGACCAATTCTTAATCTGTCGATTGTGATTTAATGTCTGTAAAGGATGAGTGATACGTAGTGTAGGTGCCCATAGATACTTTCATTAATTCAATCTTGATACCTACATGATAGTTAAGTTTCTTCCTAATATTCAAAATGAGTATCTACCAGCAACCGTCGACCCGTAAACTTCTCATTTGGCCATTTAGGTAATAATGTATGATTATCATATTTATATTTGATACGCACAAAATTTGATGAATTAATTAATAAAATTACAAAACATGGACCTATACTAAATATTGAAGTATCTTTTTGTATAGATAGGTCTACAAAAAATAAAATTGAGTATTGTCAAAAACTGGTTTCACATAAAATTCCAGGTTTTTTTCCCCGACGAAATTACTGGAAAATTTCAATTTTAACTTCTCAAAAAAATCAACTGGATCCAATTTTCTAATAAGATCCAGACTCAACGTGGAATTGAAGCATTTTTTTGACTTCTTCTTGTGACAATTATTAATATTGGTGTAAGTACGTACCTATTTCGGATATAACTATGGCCTATGTATAATATATTAATATATTTTCAATTATTTATAATAGATGATATGTAAAAATCAAATATTAAATATCTACTATAATTAATTGTCTAATTGTTCATGTTATTTATTCAGGTTTTATGATTGCTGTGTAGATTTATCAGATGCATGTTTCAACAATTTAAATCAAAAGTGTGGCTCAATTTATGCATGCCATTTCGATTTCTGTCATGGCATGGTTTACCAAAATCAATATTTAGATGTGACGCAAATTACATGTGTTTTTTTATGTTTACAGATAGATTACAGACAACATAATACATAATATATATGTACTGAAAGGAAGTGGTGTGCCCAGGAGTGATTAGGGGGTATAATCCTCCTTGAAAATTGTTAAACAGTAACAACATTTTCATTATTAAATCATTTTTAGATAAAATTTGTCAAACTAATATTTACTCCCCCCCCCCCAAAAAAAAAAAAATTCTGGGTACTCCACTTCTGAAAGGTTATGTGTACACGGAACTAAAAATGTACCTATATTGGCGTACGATAGCTGAGCAAAATACGATATCCCAAAACTGCCACACCTAAGATCCTTAACATTTTGCCACCCAGGTCTCAGACCTAATGGCCAGGAGCCATCCTATTTGAACACTCTCTTTGAATACCTTTAAGTAAACCACATTTGGTAAATTGGTCTCAAATGACCTTTACTTGGTAAATTGGGTCCCGAAAAAAAGTTGACTCAACTTACCTACTACCTTTTTTAGTTCAAATTAGTTAATAACACCACCCCTAACATTATACCTAACAGGCCGATGTCAATAGTACTGCTCAATTTGATTTTGGATGACCATTATATTTTCACGAATATTTCGTGTAACGTGTTTCGTATTGTCTGAAATATTTTAATTTATAGCATACCTAATGTCAGCTATTGATTTATGTCTTGCCATTATTGTGCTGAAACTTAAACTAGTGTTCAAATAGGTATACGGAAAAAAAACCAAAATAAAAAAACCAAAATGATAATATAATCAATATTTTTACGATATATCTTTTTCTTTATTCTATAACTGTTAATATATAATTTCAGTATAATAATAATTGATAAGTACTATCACAGAATATAATATTTAAATGTTAATAAATTATTATTAAATAATATTTCCATATTTTAAAATATTAAATCCAGAACTTTAAAAAAAACAATTTGCAAGACACAAGACACAATAACACAATACAGTAAAGTCACAGTCAGCACAATGATCAATAGTGTATTTTTATATGATCTTCATATTCCCCCAATTTCAACTATAAATCTTGACAGATTAACTTATCACTTGTCAGACTTGTCTGATTATATTGTTGAGTTCTTTTTAATTTTCGAAACCAATAGTATATCTACAGGGAATTTCTCAAACTAAAATGTATGTAATAGCATACATAGTGTTTTGTATTATTATTATCTCTATTATTATATTACAGTCGATATATCACTCATAAAATTGATACTTTTAAAGTTGAGTAAGTGAAACACCAAAAAGTGACTAACTTGCTCAGCTTTGAAAATTGGATGAAATAAATATAATATAATTAATTATATAATATTTGAATGTATAATTAATTTATATATAAATTTTATTCGTTATAATATTGATAACACAGCAATAGATTGTATATTACTATATTTTGTGATTATACTAATTCTCTGATTATATTATTATCATTTTGGTTTTTTTCCTTGGTTTTTTTTTCCGGGATTCTTCAAATATTATAATAAACATTGTGTTCAAAATTATTCAAATGTGGTACCTGTCGTGTTATATTGTTCAACGATCGCAGTCGTAAATATTACACTAATCTGGCACGTGGATTTGTTATTTAATTAAATATTTGATTAAACCCAACTATTATCGCAGTTTTTTTTAATAAACATTTTTTTAATATCAATTGTGCTGTCATATTAGTTAACTTTTAACACATGTTGTATATTATGTACAACGGTACCTATGTTGTTTTGTGTACATTTTACATATTATATAGTGATTAATTATATTAGTAAATTATTGTTTTAGTATGGCTCATGGTTAACCTACCTATATAATAACCTAATTTCACATTACATAATTTTACTATACATTTTTACATGGATTGCCTAAGAATAATCATTTAAACATAGGTTATGTAAAAAATGTACATATTTATATTTAATGAATTTATATTACATTATTGTTCAATTGAATTTTAAAAAATCAGACATAGCATGGAAATCAAAACCTATACACAGCCTACAGAAATATATACATTTTATGTAATGATGTTTAGTATTCATTATTTCGTAATTAATATTATATGTGACGCTCTGCTCATTTTAGCGCTTGTGTATTATTTGAGTACTTGAATAAATATTTGACTTAAATATAGGTACAACAAATTTATAATATAATATCGGTACCACATGATCGGCCCGTCAAACGAGGTAAACTCGAGTTCATTTAAATTATGTAGTACCTACACTTGCTGATTACCATTAAATAAATTGATAAGTTACAACCATATTTCATATTATACTTCTTATGTTGGTGTATTACATTTATTTTAGTTAATGTTTGTTTTATTAATTTGCTTATAATTATTGCATCTTGAACATTATTTCATTTATGCTTATTATTTTTATACTATTTGTTTCTTTATTATCTGTTAGTTTCAATTCCACAATATTGAGACAAAATTGAAAATGCCCAGCCTTCCTCTGGTCAAAAACATGAATTCATGTGGCTTAGAGACACATTTCAACTTTTTTATTGTTGGTGCCAAAAATTTTGCAGGCCATTTTAAATCATTACCGGCCACAAGGCACCTTTTTTTTGAGGGGAGGGGGTCAGTGAGGACAAAAACTATAGGATATTTGTATAATTTATTTAATATAATGTCACTTATATGACTTATAAGCAGGGTTCGGGACTTAAAGCAATTGCTTATTTTTATGGATTGACTTAAAATGTAGCAGATCGCTATGGAAGGTTTGCAGGCTAAAAGAAGGCATTTAAAAAAAAGTTGGTGAAAGTGTACATATATGCATCCAAATGAATTCTCAAAATTAAAATGCCTGTACAATTTAGGTCCCGGATTTTTTAAGTTACTAATTACCACTTACTACAGTATAGTTTAGGCTTGTAGCCTGTAGGGTACTGCTTTTTTTCGGTAAGCCATACATATGAAACATTTTCCTATCCATTTAAACAGACTTAAGAGTTAAGACTATCATTAATCTATTTTTGACACCACTTTTGAGTGTTCATAAAATTGTATAGGTAAGACATTAATTTTACAAAATCGAGTCGTGACACGAATTGTGTGACTTCCATTTAATTCAATTATTATTATTATAACACGACATTTCTAAACAAATTTTAATACGATGCAAACAACTAAAATTCTGTATTGAAATTATAAAACTATCAAACAATTATTATTTGGTAACCTTTATATTTTGGTGGGTTCCTATTATTTTGTATTGGTTACTAATGTCTATTATAAATCTATAATAAATACACATATTTTGATATTTCAAATTAAGCTCAATCCAAAAATCCACAAGTTTTTGTGAGGGGAGCTTTGCTCCCCTGGTCTAAGTCATTTGAAAAATAGTAGAAGCCAACATTTTCAAGTATTTTTATTTTCATTTTATTTTCTAAGTTATCTTCGTCAAGTTATATCCTATGGATACGAAACGTCACGAAGTGTGACGTTGAAATCTTGATGACTTTTGAAAGGAAAATACTGCTTCTTATCTATGGTCCTATCTTGGAAAATGGCGAATACAGAGTTAGAACCAATAAGGAAATTTACCTAACCTACCGAGCACCCAGTATAAATGTATATATATAAGAGCCAAAAGTCCATTGATATTGTTCAACATATTACATTCAATATAAAAGCCATATTTAATTGTCAATAGCCAATAAAGTCAACCTTGATATAACTTGACAATCAAAAGTTATGTATTTTATATTGTCTATTGGAATTTATTGTTCAAATTATTATTATTTTAGATGTATCTATATTACTATATAAGGCTGTATGGGCTGTGTCTTATAGCCAAGAGTTCCCACTTATTAAATTAAATGTATTTTGTATTTTATGTATTTTAAATATTAAATTAACTATTTTGGTTTTCGTATTTTAGAAAAAGAATATTCATCTAACATACACTATTTTATACTTACAATATCAAATCTACTCTGCATAATTTCATACTTAAAATTGGTTACGTAACCATTTTGACAAACCCTGAGTACAACTCTTATATGAATAATTTAATTTAGAATACGATTGGAAATTGTGTATAGAATGCAGTAGGAAGGTACCTAACTATTATAAATTAATAAATTACAATACAAACTATAGTAAAAGGTCCGATGTGGGGCGTCGGTGTGCTGCCGTCATTAATGTGTGCTGCGGTCGAGTATCGTCCGGCATCAATGGCTCTCAGATGAGTAACCAAATCGGTTCTTGACGAAGAATCCTTGCTCACTGCAAAAACGTGTATTCCAACCACACACCCCTCCCTCATTCCCATTTAACCATTTTTCTGGTAAAAAAAAATACCCATAAAGAATTGCTTGATTATTATTAAATATAAAAGTAATAAACAACGTTGACATTTTTCCGATTAGAGTATACTTTAGAAGTATGTATACAAACTATACATACATATATAATATATATATATAAATTGTATAGTACAGTTTAATGAAAAGTGAAAATTCAGTTTCGTTATGAGTAAATACTATTTTCAATGACGTTCGACAATGTAATCACTCTATAAAAGTCAATTCATTTTTTTGATATGGGTATTACCTACCTAGTACCTAGGTTTCATCAAAATTTATTATATCCATTAACAAAATCATATAAATCTTCTTGAAGAATTAATAGAAGAATAAAATAAAATATTGTCATACGCAGATACTATATTTCACCATAAAAATAACAATCTGCACCGCAATAAATCAAATTATTTACTTTAATTAATTCACTCATAAACCTACATAGACCGATCCGTGGAGGAGGAGTCATAGGAGGCCTAACTTTTAGCGACCTGGATTTGTATATCCATATACCGGGTACTCTTTTGTATCGAAACAACCGACCCCGCCACAATTATTCGGTGATTTTAATCGTACATGCTTACCATTATTTAGGTGGGCAAATCAATAAATTAGAGGGGTGGTTTCATTATCATCAACTATCAGTAATCTATAATAAAATTACAATTTTAAGTCATGGCTTTCTACGATGAATTGCTGTGGACGAAAAATCGACTCTACAGGTAGTTATTATCACGAATAGGATTAGACGCCGAGATAATTATGGTGATACTGGGCTTTTGGGACACACCGTACGACGAGAGTCGAGCATGGTAAATTTGCAGTGATCATTCGACCGCCCATCACACAGCCCTACCACAATTAGACCCGACCAATTAAACGGCGCCACGATCACGCACCCAGCAGCCGCTCGGATATAAAAACGAAATGTTCATCGATCGAAATGTCAGTGTCTCTTCATCAGCTATCAACGCACAAACGAATTATAATATTGTCGTTTGTCCTACACTCTGCGAGAATATACTCTACCCGTATAACATATACTCACTCATTGAACAGACTGCCGAAGCGCCGTCTCAAGAATCATCCGTCGTCGAGGAGCAGATCCCGAGACAACAGATACCGTATACCGCATAATATCGTTTAGGTACAAGTCGTGCGACGCACCTACCACACTCGAACATTTCGGGAAAAACAATTTGTGCACACCCATCTAAAAATGTTTCTGTCGTACGCCGTCGTGCCCGTGTTCGTTTTCACGATACTGTTGAACTTCTTCTGCCTGTACTCTCCCATCGGCTCGCAGGAGACGCCCGACCTGAACTTCACGACTTGCGAGGCATGTCTTAACTCGACATGTCACACGGACACGAACGGAACGTGTACGCTCAGCCAAGACAACTCCACGTTCGTGTGTGTCTCTTGCCCGAGCGATGGGGAAGTTCCTCAGTTCCCCAGCGAAGAATCCTGCCAACAGGGCTGCCAGGACCAGACGAAGGAGTGTGTCTGCGACGGGCCGTGTTACTCGTGCGTCGTGTCGGCGGGCTTGGACAAATCCGCTTTGGTATGCGACGTGCCCACCCTGATGGTGGACACAACTTGCGCAGTGCTTCCGTACGGCCCACCTTCCGCTTCTCCCGGTTCCGATAATGTAACCACCGGGTCGTAATGATGATTTAGGTAGACGTTAGATATTAATAAATTCAACTATGATTTTATTTGTTCGTAGATAATTAACTCCCCCCCCCCCTCCATTACATAATATTATAATATGGTAGGTATGTACGCATCCGATCACCGCCGCGATGAATATATTTGTATTGTTATTATTATTATTCTCACGGTTTTACGTCGCACAATATTCTCGCATAGTGACCGCCGCAGGGACCCGTCCTCGTGCATGATTATTATTATTGTTATGCCGGTGCAACAGTGGCTTAAACTATACACGAAAACGAGGCCTCGTGTCATAGGTAAGATTCCTTTAATAAAATGGACGATTTTTAAACTACCCCGATTGATAATACAAATATACAGGAGTATAACGGTCGCCCGTTACCAGACATTTTGTTTGTCTGTGTAAAAAAAAAAATAAAAAAATTCTTTGAACTATATTATTGTTACTCAATATTCTTTATGCTGTTTTATAAATTATCTATTGTATTTTTATTATTATTACTATTATTATATTATACATACCATATAGTTAAGCAGTTTAAAATACGTTTGTAATATTATATATTATGTAATCGGTGCACCTATACCAATACATGTATTATTTCATCAATATTAAACTATTACTCCGTCACCCATACACTTTGTGTTTTATTTATTTAATTTTTAGAAGCTCTGAGATCCGTCACATTAGAATTAATTAATTCACTCGTATACGAGCATAAACAGACCCGAGGAGAAGGAGTCATAGGTCTAACTTTTAGCGACCAGGATTTTTAACATCCATATACCGGGTAATACCGGATTTAATGTTTTTGTAAGTATTCTGCAGTAGTAACCTACCGGATATATAAAAGTATGCAACATATAATATTTCTTAAAAGTGTCTTATCAACAGTCCGTGATTTGGACATCAATTTATTTAGAGTCGTGGTTTTATTATCCCTATTTATCAGTAATCTATGAGTAAATTGCAATTTTATGTCATGACTTTCTACGATGAATTGCTATTGAATAAAAATCGCCTCTACAGGTTGTTAGAACACGCATTATTAGACACTGAGATAATAAGGGCCTGGTGCAATAACCAGATTTGCCTAAATTTTTTCAAAAATCATATTTTGGTATAGGAATACTCAGAAAAAATCTCGGACGTGTTCTAAGGTGACGTGTTTAAATGAGTAAAATTTAGGGATTTCATAAAGCGATTATATTTGAGCTGTGTTAATGTGTGTGAACTGTGAAGTAAATGAATGTTAGTGAGTGCAATGGCGTACACACGGGGGGGTTTTGGGTGTTCAACCCCCCCCCTTTAGTATTTTCGATAGTATTTTCGTACTATCGAGTTTCGATTAAAAATGTACGGTAAGAAAACCGTCGTCACTGGAGTTATTATTTAATAATAATTATTATTAGATATGGGATATTCCAAATTATACTCCCCATTATATTATAACATTAAATTTTAAACTGAAAAATAATTATTTACACAGGATAGATTAAATGGTTTGACCATTTTGTCGGTATACCGTGATATAAATTTAACTCCTGAAGAAGTCATTGATGTGTTGGGACAAAAACCCAGGGAAATAGACATTGTTTTATAATGAAAATAAATATTAGTTAAACAACATATTATTTTGATTTATCAATGTATAATATATATATGTATATAATTTTTTATACGTAATCCCCCCCCCCATTGAAAATAGCTGTGTACGCCACTGAGTGAGTGTAATTCGTAACATTTGTTAACGAGTACCCTAACCGATGGCTCACCGCTAGCATATAAATCTTCGAACGCTCAGGCACATGTGACATGTCACAGATTTTATTAAATATGCATTTTATGTTATATAACATTCAAATGACGAAATCTCAAAAGCTAGACAAAATTGAAGGTCTTGGTTTCAACTGATTTTAATTTTGAAAATTTATATTAATTAGTCATTATGTTAGTTAGGGAGTGGCCGAAGGGATTTTATTTATTGAAATTGTAAAAAATAAAAAATGTATCTAATGGCCTTTATAGTCGATGTATCTAAGAATAATAAAAAAAATATATTTCGTCGCCGTGGTTGGTATGATATGAATAGATAGCTACACAATAATATTATTATTGAGCTGCTGAAAATTATAAACAAAAAAGTGGGCAAGTGGGTACCACTCTGCTGTGCAATTGTTGTTGAGTGGGTCATTGTAATGGATCTGTTATATTTGAGTTCATTGATAAGTCATTGTATACGAAAACTGATTCTGAACGAAGACGGTTAGCCTATATTGTTAAGTAGATTTTGTGATATTACCTACGACAATTTAACACATTTTTACTATTACAGTAGGTTGAATTAATTTATGCCGGAAACATTGTATAAATTGTTAATTGCTACATCATTATGGGTGAAATAAAGAAGTATCATTCTTCTTCGATTAAATATATAATTTTGGTTAAATAAAATATCTATACAGCTGTGTGTATATGTTTTATTTATATAGTTGTTTGGTTACAGTATTGACTAGTTATGAGTTTTTTTTATACATTTATACATTTTTAATATTACAAAATGATTTGAAAATTTAAGTGATTTTGTCAATATTTGAATTTCAAATAATTATTAAAAAAAAAATATGCCTATGGATCTTTAGTATTTTGTAATAGCTACAATAACAACTTAATACCATGAATCTTGTATTCCATTTTTAACCTTTTTTTCAAACCGAACATTTTATCGATATTTTTTGATTAAAAAATAAAAAAAATTGAAATAAAAATAATACTAGTAACTCCAAATGAGTCAGAATATTTTGGAAATGTCATTATGAATAGAAAATTCTAATACATATAAACATGACGTACGTTTTCCCAGCCGCCCACATATCAATTTTCCCAAATTTTTTTCCCCAACATTTAGTACGTCATTTGTTTGTATTTGTTTGACCAAACTCAGAATTTGTTTGATGTCGGTTCCCCTTGGAAAATCGGTTTTCCGTGCGGGGGGCTGCAGAAACGATTCCCCAGCCCCCCCACCCCGTTAATTATTGACTTTTTGCAAATTTTCTTTTTCCAACATTTAGTACGTCATTTGTTTGTATTTGTTTGACCAAACTCAGAATTTGTTCGACATCGGATACCCTGGAAAATACGATTTTCCCGTGTGGGGGACTGAGGAAACGTTTCCCCAGCCCCCCGCGTAAGAAATAATGGACTTTCAGCGATTTTCAGCGAATTAATGAACTGGAAACTATAAATAAAAATGCAAATAAATCTATTTAATTGTTTCTTGATATTATGATATACATTATAGGTATAAGGTATTATTGCATAATATTATAATAAAGTTGTATATGATACAATGGTCTGTTACATAAAAATTAAATCATAATTAATTAAGTACTTACTCACATTCAATATACCATAGTAGATATATGCGTAATAAACAAAATTAATGTACGTACGTTTTGCTAGCCCCCTCCCCCCCTCAAACTTTTTCAACTTAACATTTAGCAGTCAATTAGCAACAATTTGCAAGCCTATTTTCACAATTTGCAAGCCTTTAGTTGAATTATAAAATAAAAAAAACTAAGTCTGGGTGGAGACACATGTCCCCATCCCCACCCATGTCATCGAAAACACATTTTTTAATTTTTCTTGAACCATCATTTAGCAGCCAAGTAGCAACGATTTGCCAGCCCCACCCCGTACCGAAATAATGCGATTTCCTACTTGCGATTCATGTCAACATTTTAACCTGATAAGAATTTAAAATTGAAAGTTTGTCAAAATTTATCACATTTTAAATTTAATAATAATTTTGTAGTTAAACATTTCTAAAATGTTCAACTTTAATAGCTAAGGATTGAAAATTTAAAACAAGATTCCACGTAAATAGGCTATATATAAATTACTTTATACAATTTTTAGTTTTTATTTATATAGATCTTTTTATTTAATATAGATTTTTTTTTAAATATAGATTTTTTTTATCAAGTTTATATTTTTTATTCAATAAAGATTTTTTAATTAAATACAGATTTTTTTGAAATTAAATAATGTTATCAAATAAAAATAGATTTTTTAATTAATACAGATTTTTTATTGATTTTTTTTCAAATATAAATCTTTTTATCAAGTATATATTTTTTATTTTATACAGATTTTTAATTAAATACAGAATTTTTTTGAATATAAATTGTTTTATCAAATTTAGATTTTTTTTATTAAATGCATATTTTTTATTAAAAAAAATTTTTATGATTTTAATTTAACTAAGAATTTTCATATAATAAACACATTTTATCAAACTTTTTTTTATTAATATTTTTAAAGTGACTTACCAAAAATATTATTTATCAAATAAAGATTTTTTTAAGATTTTAGATTTTTTATCACAGTTTTTTTTGATTTTTTTAAAAAATAGAATTTTTTTAACAATTTAATTCATTTTGGATTTTTTGTAAAAAATATTAATTGAATACAAATCTGTTTGATGAAAAATTCATAATTTATAAGATCTATAGTTCAAAAAATTTATATTTTATTATAATATAAATAAAAAATATTTGATAAAACATAAATTTAATAAAAAATCTTTATAACATTGAAATCTTTTAATTTTAAAATTTAATAAAAATATGTATATTGAGAAAAATTAATCAAATAAATTGAATTTTGATAAAAAATACGTGCATTATATTTTTTACTAACCATGATTTTTATTAGTATTTTTTACAAATAGACTATTTTTATTAATTTTTCATCAAACCGATTTTTATTGAATTAAAATCTAAAAAAAATTCTGTTTAACAAAAAATCAATAAAAAAACTTATTAAAAAATTTAAAATCATTAAAAAAGATTTACTTTTGATAAAACTTCGTAATTTATAAAAAAAAATGGAAATTGAATTAAAATCTTGTATAAAAAAATTTGTATTTATTAAAAGTATTAATAACAAATTTTTTTTTTAATTTTTACTAAATTATAATCAAAAAAATTCCGTTTGATAAAAAATCAACAAAAAAATCTTTATATCATACAAAATTAACAAAAAAATGGTTTTATCTATTTTTTATTATTTTCTATTATTTTTTTTTGATTTTTCATCAAACCGATTTTATTGAATTGAAATCTTAAAAAAGTTCCGTTCAATACAAATTCAATAAAAAAACGTACAATCAAATATAAAATCATTAAAGCAGATCTATATTTCATACATTTCACACATTTCAAAATTCGTACATTATAAAAAATTGAAAATTGAATTAAAATGTATTTGATAAAAAAGTCATAATTTAAAAAATCTATAATAGATATAATACTAATAAAAAATCTGTTTGAAGAAATCAATAAAAATCTGTATTAAACACAAAATCTATATTTGATAAAACTATTAAAAAAACTAAAAAAATTGTTAACTGAAAAAGATCAAAACAAGTTTTATCTTATAGTAAATGATAACATATTTTATTTACATGTAAGAAAAAGGCTATTTCTTTGTAATAAAATTAATTTTAAAAAGTTCAAACTAAGGTATAAAAAGTTATTTATATTTTTATATCATCATAACAACATTAAAAATGTGTATACAATTGTAATAATTTAATCTAATTGAAAAATCGTATTTACAAGGCTGGTATAATT